TGAAATCCGGACAATTAGTCCATAAATCCGGACCCTTTTAAAATTTAATTATGATGACTTTATGTCATCGTTAAGAATCATCAGATATGTTCATTATGTTGCAAAGTAAACGTATTAATTAATTAAAAATAAAATTTCCACATTAACAGACTGTGCGTGTTCGGTGCATAACGGTATTGGTCTCCCGGAAGCGTCTTGATGTCAAATTTGACGTATGTTTCATCGTCCATGATAAAACATGCCAATTTTTCACACAGCAGGGTAACAAAAAGCTTCAGAGCTCTCGGTTTGACAGATACGGCTTGTTTCTGACTCCTTCTGCTTCTTGAACGTTTTCAGCCCGTTTCTTGCCTTAGCACGTTGAACATAATTCTTCGATGTTCTCAGTTTTTTTTTTTTGCGAAATCTCGAACAGAGGTACTCTTCTTATTGGCGAAAGCTTGCTGATCTTCTGGTTCACTTTTCAATCCACCGGTCCAGGTTTGCGGCCAGATTTTGATGCATCCTTGAAGGTAGCTTCTTCATCAAACTTCCAGACGGCGTTTTGGACTGCTCCGATACTTACTTCCTCCATTTTCACCAACTTCCTTACTGATAGGTTGGGAATAGTTAACCAACAACAAACTTGTTGAACAATAAGTAAACAACAACACACATCGATGAACAGCTGATAAACGGAGTAGAAATGGTGGCGAGTTGAAAGTCTGCTTATACTTTCTGGGACACCCTATATAGTAGAGCCTTAAAACTTAGCACCTCAATCCCTATAGAACCTTATAAGTACCCCATACAAAATTTGGGCTCAATCGGACATAATTTGCAGAGGTGCAAAATCGCCAAAATTTGATTTTTTTTTTCATCTCAAGGAATGTGGAAATCGAAGAAAATATATAATGCCCATTTACTTAAAAATCAGTGTTCGCTCGGCTGTCGACAGAAGCAGGCCACTTTCGATGTGTGTCACGCGATCGCCTGTTAACTCGGCAGCAACTATATTGTGTGGTCCTCCCCATTGTTCTTTCGGTCGATGCATCGTCGAATTAGGAAAACAACCGTTTAGTTATGAGTGTGGTCCAGAAAATACGAAAAATCCGTAAAATTTATTGCTGCGTAGATTTGATCAAAGCAGGCCTTGATTTTGCTCTGCAACTATGTGAAATGAAGTAAAATGGTAATTATAGATACACTAGCTGTTCAATGGCAAATCTGAGTAGTCACCAGATGGTCCGTCATAAGATCTGGAACCAGTGTTGGAAAAGTTCGCGATATTTCACGAAGTTCACCATGGGAAAAATTCGAGAGTCATAGTGAGTTTTCGTGAACTTTTCCATCACTGTCTGGAACATTCGTAATATTGATTTCTGTGTAAATTTGAACGAAGTAGGCCTTGCTTTTTCTCTGCAACTATATGGAATGTGGTAAAATGGTGATTTTTTATATATTAGCGGTTCATTGTAACATCATTAAAAAAAAAATTGCTTCGTATGAGGACAGCTCCGGCGTAGTCGTTAGCAAGTGTGTAGGTGTGGAAGTCACACAAACATCGCATGTATTTAAATCGATTGGCAAATAGGTTGACACACATTTTCATCATCAAATAAAATATTTCAGGATAATAAAAAAATCAGTATCTCTGAGCCACACATCCACCGAAGCCTTAAGTTATCCCCTTTCATTTCAGGGTAGTGTTCAAATGTAATTTCGGGGAACATTTTGACACTACCCTTAAACTAAATGGGATAGTCTAAGATTTTGTTTGGTAAGTGTTTCAGTGATACCGTAAGTGGAGGTGACATTGGCCCAAAAAATCAAAAAAATTCGTGCCCTACCTAACAACGTTCACATTTCAGCAAGGAAAACAATGTTAAGCATGTGAATATATTCATCAATGATATATTTACGACTGTCATGGAAATGGTTGATTTAAATTGAAAGCTCATTTTACTAAAATTAATTAAAAATAGACCAATGTAAAACCTTATGGCGGTTGACATTGGGCCAACACATTGATTAAAATATCTTAACATATCTTAAAATATGTGTATTTATCGTAGCTATTAGGAGTACACTTGGTTATGATCACAATGTACTTCGTATGTATGGTTTAAGATCGCTTGTAGCCTTCGTCTATTTTCATAAAAGTGTGTTCAAACATTTGTTTGCCTGTGAACATTTAAAAAAATCTACTACTATTTATGACACTTTACTTTACAGCACAAATTAAATAAACAACTAGTTAATGTTATCTACTAAAGTGTCAGAGTGTGTCCAGAGGCTCAAGAAACATATGCTAGACATTATTTTCTGTATATTCAAGATATTTGCATGAATAAACATTTTTCAATTTATGCCCAATGTGACTTCCTAGTTTCAATGTCACCCCGTCTTACGGTACTATCTATTTAATCAGTCAGATGAGAGCAAAATGCATGACGATGCTGCAACACTACATGACTGTCCCGCTATTGAGAACCATGCTTGGTCACAGCATCGTCACGCGCTTTGCATCCTTAGTACTCTGACTGTTAATTATGTTTCGAACAGAGATACCGTGTCCAAAACAAGTCACAAAATTGAGTTTTACAATCAGGTTGTAATGTGTATTAGTCCCACTAAGCATAATTTCCCAAGCAATACACTTCCGTCTCTAAAGGTTGAGGCAACTTGATTGTAACCGGAATAAATCACATAGGAGTTGCCGTTTGCGACAAGTGTGCTGCTAGGGTTACGTTTATTCAGGTAAATACATAAATGAGGGTAAGAGCTTCGCTAGTACATACGAGGAGGAGGGAATAAATGATCAAACTTATACCTAAGATGATGGATATTTCGTAGTCTGAATCGTGGTTATTGTGTGTGACTTAGCTTCTTTGGCTCATCCTACATAGGGTCGCGGATGGTTTGTTGGGTGTCGTCCTTCAAGGAATGAAGACTCCAAGGGTTCGGTGTATGGGGTACCGGCTCGATGAGTTTTAGAGAGTGCCCGCCCACGGAAACTAAACTCATCGGTTAGGGTTCCAATAAACGGTGGCAATCCCCCTGGGCCTAACTAGGCCTTAACCTCAAAAACTTACTAACTAATAAAATCTGAACCAGTTAATCAGGATACTGGTTACACACTACACCAGTTTAGTAGGTTCCTCGCATTGTGTTGATGCTGCTGCTTCAAACCTTCGTGTTCTTACGACCACAGTACTTGAAAGCATAGTGAACTTACTGTTTACTTTCGCCGTTTTCCGTCCACGGATTCTTTACCACTACTTGAGCTTTATGGTGTTTCTGCCCGAGCAGTGTATTTCGACGCTACTGCTGCGGATTATTACTCTGCCTGCGGGAAGGATGCTGCCCATGATGACAATGCTACTTAACCACTACCACTGCTTAATGGCGAATACTCCCATGTATGATTACTTTGACTCTGTCACTCCAGATTTGTAGTCCGTTCACCGAGAGAAATGCGTGACGACGAAAGAAATTGCCCTGTATAAGCATGGCAATTAGTTTCCAGCTATAACTAAATTAAATCGGTTTGGTTACCTCATATAAAGGCCTTTTTCTGACTGGAATGCATCTAGGTGTCTGTCAGATTCACCCATCCCGATGGGAGCTACAAGACAAATTATAATTAGAACATTTTTTTCCAGCAAAATTATTCATATTTCTACCTTCGAAAATGTTTGTAGGACTCGTTGTGGAATTGTTCTCCAATTCGGCGGGGTAATTTGTTTAAAATTTAACAAACAAAATCTAAACATCATTTAACAACAAAATACTTGGATACTTTTTCCTTATTTGCGTGGAATGGTCTTTGTCTTGCAAAAACACTTCAGCCTATTGCTCTTTATTTAATACTAATACCAATATTTTTTTATAATGCAGGTATAAAATAAACTCATCAAAACTTAATGGTACTTAAGAAGGACTTGTTGCCAAGGCATTTTTCTATTCAAAACCATCTATTGAAGAAAACGGCATTTTTTGGTAAGATAACAAAATATAAAGATCATCTTCAGTTTTCATTTAAAGTTGTTGAACAACATCCCTGCATGTTTCCAACAAGTATACGTATTACATTAAAACAAAGTATAAAATACATTAATCTTGCACCACAGAAAGTAGATTTCCACATCATGATTTTTTTCTCATTAATATTACACTAAAATCTCCCATTAGTTGTTGTTGAACACTGCTTTTTATTGTGCAAGATAAATGTTATCTTTACTTTGTTTTAATGTAGTCCGTGAACTTGTTGGAAACGTGCGGCGATGTTGTTCAACAACTTTCAACATAAATTGCAGTTGTTCTTCACTTTTTGTTATCTTGCCACAAAATGCTTCTATTAGAGCAACACCTCGCTCTGCACAATCGTTCACGACCAATATTGAAGCAACATGATTTTTCCCTCGTTTATAATCTATAAAATCTTCCCGTTGGTTGGGGTTTTGTTCTAAGAATCATGAAGAAATTCCTGATATTTCAAAAAAAAAATCATAGCGTCCTTCGAAACAAAATCTGACAACTCATGATTTTTTTAAACTTCGGATGAAGATATTTCACAACGAACATTTCGATCCGCATTGCTTTTTTGAATGTTGAGAGCAGTGACCATGGATTTTTTTTTTCTTCAATAGTTACCTCTGGATAAAAAAAATGCCATGGCTATAAGCTCTTCACTCAAGTACCATAAATGCCTTTTGAGTTTTTTTGAAGCTGCAGCAATGTTTATCGGTGTTATTTTTGAACGAAGATCTATAATTAATTAGTTTTTTTTGCCAGGGTAAGGTAATTTCGTGCTGCCGACAAGGAACGAGGAGCATTGAACCACAAAGTTATGTAAATTCTTATTATAAACATGCAAATTACGGGCATACATTTCTGTTCATAGGAACTTAGAATAAATTGGTCCTTTAACATCCAGATTTTCAGGCAATAGATTGCCTTGGCCATCCACCGTGCACGGCTATGTTCCCCTGAAGGAGTGAATTTTATAGATTGAACACCTAAAAAGCCAGAGCTAAATTCAATAGCTCCTTGTAATCGTTACGAACTTGTCTGTTTACCAGTTGATCTCTTATGAAACCTATGAGCTTGTATTTCTCGTCTCCGAGCTCATGAATAATACTTTTATCGGTCATTTTTTCTTCAAACTCTAACTTGAGAGTTGGCCAAGCTGATTGAAATCGGACGAACATTGTGGATGAAGAACCTGTTGAGTGAAAAAGCGTGTCCCAAGCAAAAGACATTAATAACTCCACGATGTGGTGTCTACAGGCAAACCACAGAAGATCCCTCCCTAAATGTTTCTCAATAAGGGTGCATGCTTCTTTCATTGATCCAGTATTTGCTGCAGTGGTGTCAAAACCCATCGCATTGACTCTACCGCTCAGCTCCCAGTTATTTAACAAACTACAAATTTCATTGGCCTGATTTTCTCCAGAGCCTTTCTCTAATTTTGGCACTCCGAGAAGTTGTGTGTCATGGCCTGAAGATATGAGTATTGGCAGTCGATCTACAGTAGTTTTACCTGTTAAAATGCAATAGATAGTAAAATTGATGATCTTTTTGAAACTAATATCAATAATTCAAAAAAGATACCAATCTTTAAATATAGTACTCTGTGATTAGGAATCAAAAATTGTGTATCTCATAAAATATGATTTAATTAACATATAAGGTAAACCAGGGCATGTTTAACCTGGGATAAGTGGGGATAGCCATTTTCAAAATCTCCATAGAGCCAACGACATTCAGATTTAAAAATGGTTATTCTCACTTTGGACCAGTGTCCTGCACGCTATCTTGAAGAAAATTACTCATTAATGGGTAGATAATCATTAGTGGGTAAAACATTTACGCTTACGTTCCTTATCTATTCCGACCAAAAAAAAAATTGAATTGCTACCGTCAGTTCTCGACGCGAATTTTGATGCAACAAGTTTCAAATTGCTTATCGCTTTTCAAATTGCTGAAGGTTGAGTTTAATTTTTATTAAAAATTCAAATATTGAAACAAAGAGTAAAGGATGTGCCTATGTTAGGTGCTTACCCCACTCCTTGTTTAAATATTTTGAAATAAAAATAAAATTTAAAATTTATATAATAATATTTATACAAACAAAAATTATAAGTAATTTGTAAAATTGCATGAGAACCAATAGAGATCTGAAGCAATGATGGTTATTGGTTTAAAATAGGTTAGGCACGTAAGTGTTAAACATGCATCTATTGAACGATTTCCCATTCACCAGAACGGACAACTTTTTAAAACACTTAATAGATAGATTTCTGAAATATTAACTGGTGGTTTATGAATGATGAATGAATCTATAAATAGTTCAACGATATAGTTTTGGAATTGACTGACAGAGTCTGTTTGAAGATTGAGTAGCTCTAGTAAAACGCTTAAAATTTTTTCGTAATGAACAGATTTTAATAAAATATAAGTCGATTATTCGATAAAGGTCCTATTATGATTACTAAAAATATGGCTTTTATTTCAGTAAAATTATTATAAAATTAAAATAAACCATCATCCAATAATTCAGGCATCTATCTTCTTAAATGATGCTCGAACAGCTATTTATCTATATACTATACTATACGAATATAACAACGCCCTTACAATTTTAAAGTACACTTTAAATTTGATTACCAGACAGATCAGGTAACAGCTTTCCATCCCAGTGAACTGTTATTGGTCCATCTAGGTTGAAATTGCATTTAATATTTTTGGAAAATGTCTCCCGATGTTGTACTCGCGCACGCCTGACAGGAGGCAGTTGACAAACGACTGTAAGAAGCAACATCAATAGCATCGTTTTACTACATTTTACAAGGCCTACTTTGATCAAATTTACGCAGCAATAAATTTTACGGATTTTCCGTATTTTCTGGACCACTTGGTGATAACTCGAAGCCAATGACCAGCGAATATATAAAAAATCACCATTTTACTACATTTCATTTAGTTGCAGGGAACAAGCAAGGCCTGCTTTGATAAAATTTACACATAAATCAATTTTACGGATGTTCCGGATCTTCTCACGGACCATCAGGTGACTACCGTGCGGGACCAAAATCCGTACACCTAAGCACGAGAGAATCATTAACGGTCAATACTAAATAATGCTATCACATTATGCTCTGTATCACATCTTTTTCCTTTACATTTATCTTTATTTTTCCAATATTTGCAAACACCAGGTCTTAAAATTACCTTCAATTATTAGAAAAAAGGATTTAAATTGCACATATCTTGAATCAAAATCCGTACAGCGTTTTACGATTGAATCAAAATCCGTACAGTTTTGAATCGAAATCCGTACATGAATGTTAATCGATCCAAATCAATGAAAAAAAAAAACGCGTTGCTATCTTGAATAAAGTATTTTTTTTTTGTAGTTGCTTGGCTAAGAGTCCAAAACAGCTATTCGTTTAAATACACTAGTTTACAGCATACTTGAACTTTGTACGCTGATGGTCATTTCCCATGTAAAATCGTGCGCTGAATCCAAAAATATAGTCAAAAAAAATCTCGGTAGGATAGTTTTCGAGATATAGGGGTAAGAGAGGCATAGTGAACAGGTGGGGCATAGTGAGCATCGCGCGTGCTCCAGCTTGGACTTCCGGCCGTTCAGAACAAATTTGTTGGCTGTAGGATCAATATCTTAATGATATTGATCCTACTACCAGTTGATTTGTTTCATGCAGTTGGAGATCCAGAGCCAAAGTACAGGATGCTCACTATGCCCCGCCTGTTCACTATGCCCCTCCTTCCCCTAGCTAAAAAAATGAAATCTCACGTTAAAAAAAACTAAAACACAAATATCTCTGGCTGAATGAAGTGATATTAATTATTTTAACTCCACATTAAACGTGATAAAATTTTATTTCGATCTTTATAACACCATTTTTCCGTGAGAGTAATGGTAGAACCACCATAAACATTTTAATTAACATTGCTTAAAAACTTAGCAGAAATTCAAGTTTTTTTTGGAAAACTTAAAAAACAAACTATTAACTAACAACAATACCATCAATCTCACTGACAATTGATGTTCAATTGATCGAACGAAAAAATTTCTTACCTCTAATTTAGCGTTAAAATAATTGATATAATCTCATTACAACCGGAGATATTTGTATTATAGTAATCAAACTTGTTTAAAGTGAATTTTCATTTTTAGCTGTATCTCAAAAACTATCCTACTGACATTTTTTTCGACTACATTGTTGAATTCAGTGCACGATTTTACATAAGAATCATTCTTCAAAGGTTCAAGTTCATTTTTTTTACTTTTAACTTTTTTAACTAATGATATCAGCGTTAGATTAATTGATGCTCCAATCGATTCAAAGGAGAGGTAACTGAATTCTTTTTTATTTAAGAAGGTAACTGTTCTGGATTTTTATGCTAACTTATATCATGTTTAAGGATTAATTTCTTCCAAATTTTATTCTATACCAGTGCTTTGGGTTAAATATTCTTACTGGAGTTTTCCTTCGATCAAAACTTCGAGGTTTTTGAAATTTGACATGTGATAACGTGCAAGATGCGCCATACTTTGGAACTCCACCAACCCACTGGCATCAAGCGATAAATTAACCGGTTCCTAAGATGGTAGACCTATAATGGCGGATAAGTAAAAGAAAAATACAACCATCTTAGAAACCAACAAAAAAAGACAATGAACTGACATTAAGGATTAGTTTTTCGTTTTGTGCATGAAAATTAAAATTGGTAAAATAACGACTATAACTTAATTTAATTTAATACGTCAAGAGAGTAATACTCATAAAAATACAGATCTTTCATTGCTTCTTTTCCACAGCTTTCTTCTGCTTCTTCTCCATTGTTACCATTGCCTTTTCAAGTTATAATGCCCTAATAAAAATAACCATAATAGAGAGCTTAACGACGTGTTCGGGGTATCATCCAAACCATTTGTGGGAAAGTTTACCCATCCGGGATAAAGTTCGTTCATGGTATTCGTTTATTAGGGAACTTTCTTTGCTCTTCTTCCTTTTCTTCCTCCTCTTCCTCTCTCGCTCAACCTTTTTCTTTTGTCGTTCCTCAATTCTTTGTTTCTTTGCGTTCTCCTTATCAATTTTCGCCCGCACTACTTTCATGTGTATTTCCGGTCATTCCTCGCTGGTAGCTGGGAATGCTCTCTGGCCCATTTCTGTCTGCTCTCTGTAAGGGAGCATCCAAAAATGACGTAGCATATTTTTGATCAATTTTATACTCCTCCCCCCCCCCCCTTCGTAGCGTATTTGGCTATATCCAATACATGGCCGGTCACAAATTCTGAAACCCTCACCTCCCCCCTCAAATGCTACGTCATTTATGCTTGGTCCCTAATTTGTATATGCGTGTTGGTGCTATCCTGTAGGGGAGCTGCGTTGTTTTACTTTTCGGCTGGTTCTTGACGCTCTTCATTAAAAGATATTAATAATATAACGTTTACAATACGAATAAAATAAGAGAGTAGCGATTCAATACGGCATCTCTTATGGTGGTGAATTGAACGGCAAAATCCCTGGATGCTTCTCGGTAAGATTTCTCCGCACGCATCATTGCCACAGTCTTCTCCAAATCCTCCGGCGTGTATTTAGTTTCCATGATCTGCTGAAAAACATTGGATAAAGTAGAATCGTCATTAGTGATGCACAAGTGTACGGATTTAGAATCAGCTGTTATATATGGATCGAAATCCGTACAGTACTAATTTTGATAAATAAATACCATATGAACGATCCATTGCTTAGAATTGAGATATAAAACGATAAACACTTACCTTTCCGATCGACCTTCAGGAAACTACTTGCAAAAATCACTTAAATACGCTTAACAAACTGAAGTAAATCCGAGACATTTTCTTAGAAAATCGTTAAGAACGCAACCGATTGACAGAAATGCCCGACACGTGATAAGGTTTTTATTTTTCTTATTTTAATTGCATGTTATACTGCTTAATTGTTGAAGTAAACATCAAGCTGATGCATGAATGAACATGAATATGTATTCATGTATAATATTTACATTGTTATGATGCATTTAAATGAACAAATTTAACAGGGTGTACGGATTTCGGTGCTGTACGGATTTCGGTCCCGCACGGTACTCAGAGACATTGAACAGCTAATGTATCTAAAATCACCATTTTACTACACTCCACATAGTTGCAGAGTAAAATCAAGGCCTACTTCGATCAAATTTACACAGCAATAAATTTATCAGATTTTCCGGATCTTCCAGCGGGTTATGTCGTGACCACTCGGAACAATTGAACAGCTAATATAACAAAAATCACAATTTTACTACATTTCACGTAGTTGCAGAGCAAAATCAAGGCCTACTTTAATCAAATTTACGCAGCAATACATTTTACGGATGTTCCGGACACTTGGAGCCAGTGAACAGCTAATATATAAAAAATCATAATTTTACTACATTATATACAGTTGCAATGAAAAATCAAGGCATACTTTGATGAAATTTACTTAGCAACCAATTTTACGGATGTTTCAGATCTTTCGGTGGGTCATCTGGTGACCATTTGGAGCCAATGACCAGCTAATATTTCAGAAATCACCATTTTACTGTATTCCATATAATTGCGGAGGAAAATCAAGGCCTACTTTGATCACATTTACACAGCAATCAATTTTACGGATGTTCCGTATCTACCAGCGGACCATCTGGTGATAACTTGGAGCCATTGAACAGCTAACATATCAAAAATCACCATTTTACAACATTTCTCATTGTTGCAGAGAAAAATCAAGGCCTACTTTGATCGAATTTATGTAGCACTAAATTTTACGGATGTTTCGGATCTTCCGGCGGATCATCTGGTGACCACTTGGAGCCATTGAAACGCTTATATATCTAAAATCATTAATTTACTACATTTCATATAGTTGCAGAGAATAATCAAGGCCTACTTTGATCAAAAATGCATAATAATCCAGATTAAGGTTGATCCGGGTCATCGGAAGGCCTTCCGGTGAACGCTCAGTATTTAGAACCAGGTTATGGGTTGATTTTGTTAAAATATTAATCAACACTACCCACAGATGCCTGTTGCTGTGGATTTTCAGCACCACCTTGTTGTAGACGACTGGTACCTTTTCTCTCCCCGATGGCCTCTCGGAAACCCGGAATAAAACCGGAACCACTTGGCCAATCTGTTCCAATTTTTAGTAGACCATAATTTCGAACATTTTTCTACTCACTGTGAAAATTTCAACCAATTTCACGGTTAAACAAAAAAGTTATACCTCTGCAAACATTGCTATTCGTATACCTGTTCGTAAAAATAAAAACTGCACAAGCGCGTTAGGCCCTCCCCAGAAGTAAAGCAGGTGGTGTTCGTTTGAAATGCTAATAACTTTTCGGGGGTAGCTCGGATTCACATCCGGTCTTGAGCCAAGATGTTCCCAATACTCCAAAGGTGCTACATTTTGTACACGAAGAAAATCTACCCACTACAGCGCCACCTAGAGCCACGAATGTGAAAGTGGCTCGCTCCCCCATACATTTTGTCGATTTTCCCCATACAAACTTCAAGCCGTTTGAGCGAGGGGTTCCCGTGAACCAAATCACTTCAAATTTTGGCAGGGTGTTTCTGACCCACAAAACTACCATTCCAGAGGGTAGCGTTTGAAATTCCAGACTTTGACTTTTTTCCATATAACGCTGAAACACTCTAATGTGCATGCACGGGATAAATGAGGATCTCCTCCCAATAACAGGATAATACAACTGGTAAAAAAAACTGGCCATTCAACAGGAGGATGCCCCAATGAGTGGGGAGAAAACCGCGCCCTCTATTCACGAAATGTTAAAGACAGGGAGTTGGCATTTCACTCTCCCCATCCATTTCGCCTAATGTTTAATATAATGGAATGAAAGTTAATTAATTTCGAAGCGCTCCCATTGATATGCTGTTGCTCAGCAGAGGAAAAACGGACTGCGATCACTTTCCATCACCAATCACTCGCGCCACCACGGCTTCAATTTGCCAGTACACAGTCTGTAAGACGCAGCATCAGCTCCTCACGAATCAACACGCGACCAGCGCCGAAGTAAGAACCGACAAGTTCAGCGACCGAAAACAGACGCGTCTAAAAGCGGCCACAGCACACTTCGATATATATATATACCAAAAATCACATAACCAGTAAAACTCGCAAGAGCTGCTCATGATTTAAAGAAGGAGAAATACTTTAAAACATTTCATTTTGATTGCTTGCCAAACCTGAATCTTGCAAATTTCAGGGTATGTATGAAATGTGTTCTATTCCCAAAAAAAAACCAAAAATCGTAGTCCGATTGATTGATATTGTACATCTAAAAAAATGTACAATATATGTGCAACAAGATCGATTGTTGGCAATAGATTTGGTTGTATTTGTATTTTATGTTATGGCAATTGTGCGGTTATTTTTTTCCATTCGACTTAATGACCATTCACCTTAATGGCCGGACACTCTCGGAGCGATAGTGTTACATCTAGAAACGACCAGAAACTTTGATATCTTGACAAATTGACAAATATACATAGTAATTGATCGCACACGGGCGGAATCCCTACGTTACGAAATAAATAAAACACACAATTTGCTTGACCGTCCTGCCATGGCGGAGGTATTCGAGATACTACATTCTTTTTTTTTTTTTTTTTTTACAAAGAAATGTAGAAAACAATATAGTATTTCGAATACCTCCGCCATGGTAAGACGGTCAAGCAAACTGTGTGTTTTATTTATTTCGTAACGTACACACTAATCGAGTCAGTACGGTTTTACCGAGTTTTTGAATTGCGGAACTGTTCGGTAAAAGTTTAAAAATTTGTGGAAATTTTATTAATGAAAATTTGTTCTGAACCTATACATACTTAGTTCTGTTAACCCCATTTAATGATAGAAAATAAAATTGGTGGATTACATTGATTCCATACGGATAACGGTCATTTGAATTTTTACCGACTTTTTCAGCAATTAAAAATCCCAGTAAAAAAATACTGACACCTGTAAAAAAAATCTTAGTGTGTAGGGATCCCGCCCGTGCACGATCAATTACTATGTATATTTTTCCAGCAATACTTTACAATTTTGTCTTAAAAGTCAATTCAATAAAAGTGATGTTTTCGTGCTAAAATTTGTTTAAAAATCTCAAAGACGCCACTTTGAAAAAAAAAATAGGCGATCCAAAATGATTGCCCATAACCAAAAACTATTTAAAGTTTCATGCAGATCGGAGAAGGTCGTGTCAAAAATAATTTATAATTTTGCTATTTGTCCTGGAACTGCCTGGAATACCATTTGTTTTTCGTGTAGGGGTAGACGGGGCAAGATGGCCACCCTAAGGTTGACTTCATTTTTGTATAAAATAATAGCAATTAATACAGTCTATCGTTGTCTTCCCTGGATCTTTCATGTCTGTTCTAGTTCCTACGCATTCTGTTCTAGTGCCTATACAGATCAAAGTATGATGTTTTGGATTTTTTTAATGAAACAAAAAAGTAACTTTCTAATACCGGTTTCAGACACCCCGTGGCAAGATGAGCACCCATAGCAAAAATTGTTTTATATAATATTTATTGAGTTTTAAAGGATTTTACTCCTAAGCTTTACTAAAACAAGTTACCAGCACAGTTTCGCAGATTTCCTGTAATTTTTCACAAATATCTGTGAATTTTGCACAGATATCTGTAGATAATTACAGGAAAACTGTAAACGTTCAGCTGTTGAGATTTCGGTAAAATTTTACAGATTTCTGTAAAAATTTCTAAGTGTGTACCTATGTACAGTTTTCAAAAATATAAGATTTCTGATGTAAACTTGAAGGGTGCTCATCTTGTCCGGTTGCAATCTTGCCCCGCCTACCACTATATGTTTCGTGAACTTGCCCGTACAACTGATCAATTTTTCAACGTTTTGATTATTATATTATATAAATCATTTCGGACAGGGCCCAATATTACCGGAACTGTTTTTGCCATCTTCAAATTCAAACTATTTATCCCTTAATTGACAATTCTAGATAGAGCTGGTATAAAGGCGTAACAGCTTTTGTAAACAATGGCTGGTCTCGATCATTTCTAGGAATTCAAGGCACGTCCACGCAACATAACCATCGGGTAGGGAAAGTCGTCTACTACCCGATAATGATGTAGATTTACGTTAATTCCTAGAAATCATCAAGAGTTCATTGTTTACAAAAGCTGTTACGCCCTAATTCCAGCTCTTTCTAGAATTGTTCTAGCTGCATCAAGTTCCATTTCCGTAATTTTCCAGTGATAAAAAAAAGGAAAACCAGCACATTGGTAGCTACCAATTCCAATCTCCACCGAATCGAGCTTAATCTGTGCCCTCATGCATTCGCTCCCATTGCCGACAATCGTTTCCATTATCGTTCCCATTTCCTCGTATCCACTGCTGCTACTATTGCTCTCTACTCTGAAACAGTACCAGTAAATTGAGATTTCAAGCACCCAATATCCTGTCCTCATCGAGGAATCCCATTATCCCCCATCCTGCCGGGGACGACCATCCGACCAACGCCAAACCATCTAACCATGTGTGTATTTTGTTCTGATTTTCATTTCCCCAGTTAAAACAACCGATGTCGAAGCAATCGAAGACCACCAAGCAATATTATACTGTCCACTTCTAGCGAGCAATCGCGATAAAATCAACATGGTACTGTGGTTCCGAGACAACGCCGGCATCCCGCTGTACAGGTGAGTTTGATGTATGCACATCCCGGCATTCGGGTCGGGAAACATGCGGAAGGAATTCCGGAAGCTACCGTGAACGAACCGGAATTCCTTGCATATTGAACTTTTCGCCACCCACCCACACACACCGAGCGAACACTTTTGTTGTCGTGGTTGTCGTCGGACTTGCCCAACACCAGCTACTGCCATCCGTTGTATACCATGTTGGCACGGACATCACCTGGATGACAGGCTGCTGTTGCTTGCCATTTTTATCTATTAGACGAGTTCGGGGGACTCTCTTGATACCCACAATCGGCATCAATCGGACCAGTCTAGCGACGGACGGTGTAATCAGGCAACACGTTGTTTGGTGGCTGGAGCCCTGTCATCGCGCTCTTCGACTATTTTCTGCCATGCAGATGTCATCCTGGAGCAGGGGCAGGGCAGCATCTGCTTTCCGTCGGACGTCTGCGGGGAAATGACAGGAATGCTACCATTTCACATCGTCGTCGTCGTGTCGTCTGCTCTGAACTGACGAAGAAGGTCTGGTATTATATTGCACCAGATAGCTGCCGGAGAAATGCCGGAGATTTCGTAGGAGTTGAAACATATTTGCCAGATGGTTGACGGCAGTGAATTTTAATAGAACAAGACGGTGGATTAGTCTGTGTGATAACGTCGAAAATACCGAAAATCTACATGCGAGAATGTTTCAAAAATGGACCGAATGAATTCTACGAGGCAGTGGCATGCCCCAACTAACATTTTTAGCTTTATATGCCAACTTTTGCAGCGTTGTGCTGTTAAGTAGCTGAAACAAAGCTGCATATACAGCTACAAGCAGAAGCTAGCAAAATAGTTCTGGAGAGTGTTTACTCAACTTTTTCACAACCGTTATTCAATTTGTCAATCGCACTGAATAACAACAGCCAATGAACGCTAATGTCACTTTTATACACATGCTAATCAACTTTCCACTTGTAGCTGCAAAATAAAGCTTTGTTTTTTTTTTTTTTTTTTTTTAACTTTTTATTTGTTCCAAATTCAAAATAAATTACATTTCATTTTTAACCTAGGTGCTCCAGTTACTACAGTAACTTACCAGCCTTAATTGTTATGATATATATCTAAATGTTTTTACATTGTTCCTGTCTTGGCAATTCAGTATTTTAAACAGGTTTTTTAAACCTGCATGTCAGTATGACAATTGATATCTTAAAACTAAACACTAAAACTAAATCTTATCTAAGTATAAAGGGAATTAATCGTTGCAATTGAGGATTGTAATTAATCGTTGCAATTGAGGATTGTAACGATTTTTGCCGGAAATTATTAATTATTTTGTTGGACATTTGTGCTAAAGTCTCAACATTCGAAATTCTATGTACTTCGGTTGTACTGTACCAGGGAGGCAACTTCAAAATCATCTTCAGAATTTTGTTCTGAATCCTTTGAAGTGCTTTTTTCCTGGTAGTGCAACAACTAGACCATATTGGTACAGCGTAAAGCATGGCCGGTCTAAAAACTTGTTTAAATATTAGAAGTTTATTCGTCAGGCAAAGTTTGGATTTCCTGTTAATAAGAGGATACAAACATTTAATATATTTGTTACATTTGGCTTGAATGCCCTCAATGTGATCTTTAAAAGTTAATTTTTGGTCAAGTATTAATCCAAGATATTTCACTTGGTTTGACCAGGAAATTGGAACTCCGTTCATAGTGACTATGTGACTACTACTAGGTTTCAAAAAGGAAGCCCTGGGCTTATGTGGAAATATTATAAGTTGGGTTTTGGAAGCGTTGGGAGAAATCTTCCATTTTTGTAAATAAGAAGAGAAAATATCTAAACTTTTCTGAAGTCTGCTGCAAATAACACGAAGACTTCTTCCTTTAGCGGAAATGCCTGTGTCATCAGCGAACAAAGATTTGTGGCAACCCTGAGGCAAATCAGGGAGGTCCGAAGTGAAAATGTTATACAATATAGGCCCAAGAATGCTACCCTGAGGAACTCCTGCTCTAACAGGTAGTCGATAAGATTTGGAATTTTGATAATTTACCTGCAGAGTTCTGTCAGTTAAATAATTTTGAACTAATTTCATAATGTAAAGTGGAAAATTAAACTTTTTCAATTTAGCAATCAAACCTTCATGCCAAACACTGTCGAATGCTTTTTCTATGTCTAAAAGAGCAACTCCAGTTGAGTGGCCTTCAGATTTGTTTGAACGAATTAAATTGGTAACTCTCAAGAGTTGATGAGTAGTTGAATGCCCATGGCGAAATCCAAACTGCTCATCTGCAAAAATTGAGTTCGTATTGATGTGAAGCATCATTCTATTCAAAATTATTTTTTCAAAAAGTTTACTTATTGAAGAAAGCAAACTTATTGGACGGTAGCTAGAAGCTTCAGCTGGATTTTTATCCGGCTTCAAAATTGGAACAACTTTTGCATTTTTCCATTTATCAGGAAAGTATGCCAAATGGAAACATCTGTTAAATAATTTTACCAAGAAAGACAAGGTACTCTCTGGGAGTTTTTTGATGAGGATATAGAAAATTCCATCATCACCTGGAGCTTTCATATTTTGAAATTTTTTAGTTATAGAACTTACTTCGTCCAAATCAGTCCCCCAGGAATCATCAAAAATATTTTCCCGAGAGAAAATATTCAGAAAATCCCGAGCAACCTGATTCTCAATAGGACTAGTAAGACCCAAACTGAAATTATGGGAACTCTCGAATTGCTCAGCAAGTTTCTGAGCTTTTTCCAAATTTGTGATCAAAATTTTACCACCTTCTTTAAGCGCTGGAATTGGCATTTGAGTTTTTTTTCAAAATTTTTGTGAGTTTCCAAAAGGGTTTGGAACTCGGGTCTAATTTAGAAACATTATTTTCAAAAGTTTTGTTCCTCAGGGCAGAGAATCGCTTTTTAATTTGTTTTTGCAAATCCCGCCAGATAACTTTCATGGCAGGATCGCGTGTTCTTTGAAATTGTCTCCTACGGACATTTTTAAGACGGATCAAGAGCTGAAGATCATCTCTGCAGCCATGTGATGAACTAGCCTACGGCTAAAAATCACAAAAATAAAGAAAAAAAAGAAAAAAAAAAAAAGATGCGGACTGCAAAATAAAGCTAATAAAGTGAACATAGGGTTAACCACCCCATATCCGGCATATTAAGCACAACCCATACATAGTCTTTCTTAATCTAGCGCAGCTTAGCACCAAACGGAATTTTTTTTTTCCTATGTTGGGTACATTTTTCCACTGCGACCAGTTATTTGATCTATTGTGGCGGTCCCCGGTTTAATGTATGCCACATCAGGGTGTTGTATCACTATTTGTTTGAGTGATTTCCACTAGCTGACTATAGGCGTTGTCCCTGCAAGGTATTATAGAACGAATGAACTTTATTGCCTTACTGGGAGAAGTCATCCATACATCTTAGGGCTGCATTAAACCCTTATCGAAAAATGTTTTCCTTTTATGAAAAAGTGCTGCACAGTTACATAGTAAATGTTCCGAGTTTTCACTCTCTAGGTTGCAGAATCGACACTTGTCATCTTCCAATTTGCCTAGCTGTTTTAAATAATATTTACTTGAACAGTAGCCCGTAACTAGGCCGTTAAAAGTACATAGATCTGTTTTTGAGAGACAAAGAAGTCTTTGAGTTTGTAACCGTTTGGTCACAAATTCATAGGTTTTTGTCATTTATGTTATATATTCAGAGCCTTCACGTTTCTTGTGCAAGAACAGCAGTATACCACAGAAGTGATAGGGTTCTGTACCGCTGTGAAAATGTTATGCCGTTACGTTATGTCCACCATAGAGCTACAAACAACTATACAAAACAAGGATGACGGGATGACGGGATGAAAGAAAATTGGGAGAAAGAACGGCCATTGCCCAAAATCGGCCTCTTTTAATATCAGGCGTCCGTGTGCTAAGACGCATTTTAATTAGCAAGTGCAGTGGTTGCTGTTTTTGAACGTGAACCAGGACCCCCCCTAGCAACAGCTAGTGTGCGCAAGGGAAATTTAACGTTCACGACCTCTTTTTTATATTGGACCTTAAAAAGGTTATCCGTCAGCACACGGCCGGCTCGTAAACTTGGAAACAGGTTCCGAGCCCAATTGTCAAGGGCCAAACATTATTATCTGGCCAAACGTAGGCCATAATCGTAAAGGAGTTTTCCCTTCTCGGCTTGACCAAGGTGGCCTTGCCACGATCGGCCGATCGTGCCAACGAAGGACGACGCCTGCCATCCCACTTTCCAGCAACGCCCGCTGGCCTTTCATCCGCTCACTTCGCCAATCTGGCGAGAGTTCCGGCCGCACAGTAGGACAGGAGTCACTGTGTCGGCCATCCCGATTCACCATCAACGGCAGCAGCGGTATGTACCGGTACAGTAAACAACGCGATTAGGCTACACGACACATATTACACGAAATTATGAACACAGAACAACACGCACACAATACAGAAAGTGGCAAATAAAAACATTTAAAGAAAAGTGAAAGTTCTTCGTTTTTGTATCGCGAAACCCTCTGATTACCCGGTAGCTAGTCGACCCTGGGTGTTCCGGAGCTTGCTCTTGTCGCCTGAGTCGACCGGGTGCTGTATGTTTGATCTCCGAGTAGGTAGTTGGTGAGTGCTGAGTTCTAACTAGTTAAAAGTTGCTCCTTTATTAGGTGATATACATCTTTTGGACTGTCGAGCTGTTTTAGTGTTTTTCCAAATGTTATCTATCATCGATTTTTCCCAGTTTTTTAGTTCCATTTTGAGGGTACATTCTGAGGCCCGCAAAATGGTTCTGGACCTAGGAATGGTTTTGATGATCCCAATCTTGCTAATAAATCTACCTTTTCATTACCTTCAACCCCACAGTGCTCAGGTACTCAAAATAAGTTAACTGTACTATTTTTAACCACCTGCTGTAGTAATTGAATGCATTCCCAAACCAGTTTAGAATAACATGTAACTGACCTCAATGCTTTTAGGGCAGCTTGACTGTCAGAGAAAAT